ATATGATATAAATTTAAAGCATTAGCTTATTATTAAATAAGATATTTCAAACAAAATACTTGTTAAATTTTAAAATATTGAAATGACCTGATAAACAATAAACAAAACTTGACAGAACACAGACGGTCAAGTGTCAAATGGCATAACTTTTAATTCACAGTAGAGGGCGTATCGCTTATCTTCAGATCCCAATAGGAAAAAGAGGAAATCGTTGTTTGGTGTAGAAATTATTTAATGAAAATACGTAGATATTGCAATGACAGGAAACATTATTTGGATGAAACCTGCCAGACCTGGGTTATTCAAGGGTACATAATTATAGAAGGTTGGCAAGATTTAGAAATTAAAAATCATAGAGATGCTTTCTTACAAGGGCTCTATATGGGATTGAAATCACCACCTGTTAAAGGACACTGTTTAATAATTATGCATATTGGTAGTGATACGGGTTTGTTAAATGGGCTTATTGTTTTTGAATCACAAAAAACGGGGATTATCACAAAGATATGGATGCAAATGTATTTCAAACGTGATTTCAATCTACTCTATTTTAATTTAATTTATTTTCGTATTTTATTTTTGTGTTATTTAAATATAACGGCGCGGCGATTTGTATTTAAATTTTACAACGATTTGTATTTTATTTTTACTACTGTATATATAATTTATTTTCACAATCATTTGTAAACAGGGTACTCTGTAGTTAACGGTTCATAGAACAATGGTATATAGCATCTTCGCTTTAAAATATTAAGATCTGACTCGGCTTTATTCAATGAAATATTAAATAATAAAAAAGTTGCAAGATGTCACGGTTGACATCTTTTTTTATTTTTGGTAATAATTCCACAATTTTTTTGTTTAATTTTGAAGTACTTTTGCGACTCTGAACGGTTTGCTAGTGTTTTTTTTTTTTTTCAAAAGATTAAAATAATTGTACATAATGACGTTTACATTATGTTTTTTAGTCAAAATTACCAAAACGTTCAGTCAAAAAAAAAAAAATATCTAATTTCATCATCACATTATATTATTGTTCATGTGATATCCTATACAATAAAATTCCAAATCAAATCATTAATAACCATCTGCCAAATTCGGCAACATTTTATTCACAGATTGTGAAATTATTACCGAAAAAGCAAAATAATTATTTCAAATTAGACACCTTGAACTTTTTAATTTTCAGTATTTTATTAAAGAAAGTCAAATCAGATTTTAATATTTCGCAACTAAACTACCATTAAGCTTTGGGCCATTATTTACGGAGCACTCAATGTTTATTTGATATTGAGATATAACCAAAAATGGTAACTTGCCATGGTAATACCTCAGAGGTGATTTGGAAACGTACCAAGAATAACAGACCTCACTTTAATTGAAAAATCTGATGTGTCCAACACATGACTTTCCTATCTAGCTATTATAGGCTTTTTCCGGTTATTTTGCACAACCTATTGCATCACCTCTATAAATGTTTAGAGGATAAACTAAATATAATATACATTTTCCACATACATCTACCTCGGAACATTTTTCTATAGATATTCATTGAAAACGAAAATACTGAAAAATTTAAATTTAGCACTTTTCCTACAATTTTTCCATTACGGTCCATTTTAAAAAAATCATGTAGAAACAAAAATTATATAGATCGATATCGCAAACAACTTTTAGTTCAACAATTTTCATAAAAATCAGAATTTTGCTCATTTTGTCAAATTTCTCGAATACGGACCATTTCAGGAAATTTTGACATAAGGCAAAATTTGTATAATATTAGAAGCAACTTTTATTTGAACAATTTTCTTCTTCAAACATAAATAACAGATATATTCCATAAAATATAAAAACGGCCTCCCATAAAGTACCCCCCCCCCCCAGATGTTCCGAAATAAAACTTACAATTAAAATTAAATTTTTTAATCCGTTTTTGAGTGTTCTTCAAACTTCGAAATTTACACATTTTCTCAAATATCTCGAATACGGTTCATTTTAGAGAAATTATGTATGGGATAAAAATTATAGAGAATTATATTACCAACAACTTTTATTTGAACAATTTTTATAAAAAAAATTATTTCTTTTGTTTACATTTTGTCAAATTTCTCGAATACGGACCATTTTAGGAAAATTTTGTATAGAACAAAAATTATAGATAATAATAGAAGTAACTTTTATTTGAAGAATTTTCTTTTCCAAACGTAAATAACATATATTCCATAAAATATAAAAATGACCACCTATAAAGTACCCCTCAGATGTTCCGACTCTGCCCAACATCTAATCATTTCATTGGACGCTGGAATAAAGCTTAAGTTTAAGATTTGGTGTTTTTCTTCTGTTCATGAGCTATGGTGGATACAGACACACACACAGACATCATCGCGAAAATAGTCAAAACGGATTCAGGGGACCTCAAAACGTAAAAATCCGTCGAAAACTCGAGGTCGAAAAAAATCCGTCGAAAACTCGAGGTCGAAAAAAATCATGATTCCTATACTTTCCTTATATCTGTATACAGATAGGAAAGTAAAAATTAGAAACCAATTTTTGTAGTGAATTAAAATGCATATTTCTCGTATACAGGGAAAACATTAAAATTGCCCTCCAGTGGAAACATTTCCTCCTACCCTGTAAGCTCCGAAAATCTACAAATTTTGGAGCGATGACAGATGTCAGCATTCCACTATATATTCCTGAAATTTTCCCACTATTATTTTGAAATCGTAGTATAAGAGCATAATTGGCATACCTTATTGTAGCGATTATAACTGATTATTATTGGATTATAATTATTAAGTAAGCGGATCTAATTTAAAAATCTCTTGAGGTTAGGTATTTTTAATTACAGATTGGTGTTTTTGGCATATACTCGTATGTGCATATTAAAACTGCTTAATATTTGAACTATCCTTGACTACACAAAAACATTCTTTAAAAAATGGATGTACGCCACTGCCTTGTTGAGGTTTTTAAGATCTTCTACCTATGGGTCCACAGTATTGCATTCATGCCAATAAGACACTTTTCTCCACCCCCATATTATAAACACTTTTCTCCACGTTTCTGACCACTCTAGGTAAGTTTACAAGATTTCCAAAAGCTTCATATAAAAAAGAAAGAAAATATAAGATTGTACGCGCACCTACCCTACAAGTGCATTCTTTGACTAAAATTTAGATGTCAACACATACAATAAAATTAAAATAGTTAGTAAATAATGTGACAATGCAATTAACCCTTTCTTTACCAAGGCGGGATATATCCGGCAGAATATACATTGCCGTTGTTCCCACTGCCTTATACCGGGTGTTGTAAATTAAAGCGTTACAGCTATATACCGCTTTTTATAAAAAAAAAAAAACGTTTCAGACGAAAGTTTTATAGTTTTGTAGGGAAAAACTTTTGGCTAAAATCGTTTTTTATAGCTAACCATAATATGGCCAACTTTTTTTCGCGCAGCATTTTCAAGTAGCTGTTACTCAAAAAGTAAAAGTCCAATAAAAAAAATATTTCCCTCAAAAGTTTCTTATTTTTTTATGTACTTTAAGAAAATGTAAGAAAAAAATGGGATTCCCATTTAAAAAAACAAAGTTCACCTCGATATGGCCATATTATGGTCAGCTGAATTTAGCCAAAATGTTTCCCCCAAAAAACTATAAAACTTTTGTCTGAAACTTTTTTTTCTAAAATGCATATTTTCGGCGGTATTTTACTGCAACACTTTAATTTGAACACCCGGTATATGGCATCAAAATGTAGTTTTTTTCAACATACTTTTGTAAACCGAATAATTATTTATATTTTAATATTTTCTTTAATTAAAAATTCAATAATTAAGTTATATATTTTTTCATCAAATACACTAATAGAAATATTTTTGATGGAAAAAGGATATTTGGGAAATAATGGTATTTAAGGAAATGTGAACGATGAGAATTATGGTGACTACAAGAGATTGTTGATATTGGCAAAACCTCGTGATTCAGTTTCATCCTTGTTAAAGTTGGACACACATAGGTGCTCATTTTTCATTCTTTAAGTTATTATTAAGTGACTAACTGTCAAATATAAAATGTATATGTAAATCTTAAATAAAAGAAATACCTAGACATTTTAAAATTTGTAATGTGGGGAATATATTTCGGAAGAATAGTGAAAATAAATGTATGTGGGTTATTTACATGAATAATATCCTGCAGATAATGAATATTACTAATTGTTGAAAGAAAAATGGATTCTTCAGCAGCTAAATCGACATTTTCATTTCCAACTATCCCTTTATGACTTTTAACCCAAATGAAAACGATCTTGATTTTAGAATTATGAAGAGAAAGGAGAGACTAAATAATTTCTCTTATAATAGGTTTTTTGTTAATGTTGCAGGAATAGTTAGAAATTGAAAGTAAAACAGATTTAGAGTCTGAAAGAATAACTAATTTGCTTTCTCCATAGCTCTATCCAAATGTGTAGCTCTATCCACTGTGTAAACGAAATTTGGAAATAAAGTTTTAATTTTCTACATAAAAAGCGCATCCTGTACCTTGTTTTCCTTTAGACTAGTCGCAAAAAATAGTATTAACTGTATCTAGGGTTGAATAATCTCTATTATTTTTACATGAAAAGGTTTAAGGAGTAAAAGGACCAATTATTTTTACTTGGGTAGGCTTAAGGAGTAAAGGGACCAAATATTTTTGCATTTAAGGGGTAAAGAGATCAAATATTTTTTCATGGGTAGGCAGGCTTGAGGGACAAAGATAAATATTCCTATATTGAAATTAACAATTTCGCTGCAGAATTATTCACTTTAGTTTTTGGACATCATATTCTACTACTCGTTTTAATATGATCATATATTTCAAAAACACAATGTAATTTTCTTTTCACAGGAGAATTCCATATTTTTTACGGAAAAATCAAAAATATTCATTTTATTAATATTTTTTTCAACATCTGATATACAGATGTTGTTTTGATGCTAATCGTGTTGATTTCAGGTGGATATGTCCAAAATAAAAATAGAAGTGATCAAACCATGGATTTCGGATAAATTGACGGAAATCCTTAAGATCGACGATGACGTAGTTGTTAATTTTGTATATAATCAGTTGGAAGTTAAGGTAAAATTGTCTTTGTCAAGTTGTGTAACTTTTTTTACCCAGCCATTTCGTTTTTAGTTTCCCGATCCTAAAAAGATGCAAATCAATCTCACAGGATTTTTGCAAAGTAAAAATTCCATGGAATTTATGGCGGAACTGTGGGCTCTGCTTATATCGGCTCAAGAAAATCCCACCGGGATACCTGAATCGTTGATAGACTTGAAAAGGGAAGAATTAGCAAAGAAAAAGGTAATAATATTTTTAAACCTATTATATTTACGGGCTCTGTTGATTTTTTAAATAGGAAATAATTTTTTATGTCTATTTTCATGATAACTACAATCTTAATCATCATAAATAATACCATTTTTTTTTTTTATTTTCAATATTGATTGATGGATATTTATATATAAAAATAGGTTCATTATTATTATAATTCTCTCATAAATAACAGAGCTAAATAGTATCATTTTTACCCGAAACGCTAGGAAAAGGAAGAAAAAGAGCGAGAAAAATCGGAGAAGGAGAGAAAATACCGCGATCGCGACAGATCGCGTTCCAGACGTTCCCGTTCCAGATCGAGGAACAGAAAAAGTTCCCGGGACCGTTCCAGTCGGAACAAAGAACGGGACAAGAAATCCAAGAGCAGGGATCGAAAATCGCGTAGCAGGGACAGGAAATCGCGAAGCAGGGATAGAAAATCGCGGAGCAGGGATCGAAAGTCGCGATCCAGGGAGAGGAAGTCGTTGAGCAGGAGCAGGGATAGGAAATCGCGAAGTAGGGATAGGAAGTCGAGGAGCAGGACCAGAGACGGCGTCAGCAAGTCTAGGAGTAAGGAAAGGGAGCCGAAATCGAGGAGTCGGTCAGTATCTCGAGGAAAGGAAGAAGAAGTTATTAGGAATAATGGGGATATAAGTCCTAGCGAAAGGACCAATGGTAGGGAGGAGCTGGAATCTTTGGATAAAAATGGGTAAGTTATAGCGATGATTTATTATAATGTATTTGCAATATGAATTATTTGTGTCAATTACACATTTTGTTAGTGGTCCAAGCCGACAATTTAGTATGTTCTTAAATTGCTCATTGATTCTCGAATAAACGAAAAATAGTAGTTGTTATTCAAATGTGACATAAAACGTCGTTTTTCGGACAAAAAACATAATCGAAAAGGAGAACTTTTAAAAAAACTACAAATGAACTACTAATATAGTATACTTAAATACATGTTGCAGAAGGTCACATATTCCCACACGAATTCGAAGGAGGGAGTGGACGAATTAATGAGTGACAATAGCCCTCTGCAACGTATGTTTTATACTATTTTCTCGATTTTGGGCTTTATTTACAGTTTTTTTTTTGTGGTCCTTGTTGGAAATTTTTTTTCGCAAAATATGTCAGTTGGTAACACTTAGTTAAAAATTGATTGTCAGGATACCTATTCTCTAACTCATGGGAGCACTCCCACACTCCCATACTCCCATGCCAACGTTGCCAAGTCGACAGAATAACTTTGATCTACTATTTAAGGACCGATCCACCGTTGTGTTAAACGAAGTTTAAAATTACATTTTTACATTAACAATGTCATTTTAATCTCCGTTTAACTCAACGGTGGAATCAGCCCTTAGTAATTCAAATTTGCTTTGTGATAAATACGGACCTAATCTGGCATGCCCGCAATTCTCCCTCCCATAGTATAAAATCTGACCTTACTACGCATGTACCTGGGCTAAAAGTGAGTGAGCACGATATACCCACCTAAGAGTAAGAGAGCAAAATATATGGGAGCACTCCCATGGGAGCGCTCCCATGACTTAGTGAATAGCTATCCTGGTCGAATTTATTACTAGCAAAGTAGTCAATGTCAACTGAAATGTCACCAAAAATCGTTTAAGAATGAGCTTCATTCTTCGATGATTTTGTGAGAAAGAATATGACATTCTTACACCAAAATACTGCTAGGTTATCAAAAAGAAAATATTTATGTAAACCTAAATATATTAGGTGTATGTAATAAAAATACCATTACTTCTCAAACGATTAATCCTATTTGTTTTGTGTGTAATCACATGTTTTTGTCTCTGTTATTGAACATACACAAAATATTTACTTAAAATAATGACAAAATGTTTATTTTGGTTTAAAAAAATTAAATAAAATTTGCTATTTGATAACATATAATTTAAAATACGTATTAATTTGGACATGACGCTTATGATTTGATTTCTAACCTAAAATATAAACTTGATTATGAATCGAAAGATTATGCTTTAAACAATCTAATTTTTTACGAACTTGACACAGCTTGACAATAATTAACGAACTTTATTATTTTCTAACTAAATAAAACGTTTTACAAAACAAATTTAAAATACTATATTACTATGTCGAAAATTTGGAATTAAAATAGATATTGCGCATTTGTCACGGTCCAAAAATGAGTAATGAATTGATGACATAATATCTCGATGTCCCGACACGTCGACAGCCTAATATTTCATAAGCGTTTGAGAGAATATGATTTTTTCCTTTATCTCATTTTGAATGTTTCTTATTGTTGGCTGTTATTTAAACAATTTTATATGTATTTTTATATCTGCGATACCATCTCAACGACCCTTACCTGATATATTCTTGAGTTAAATGTCCATTGTGGCCATAAAAAATACTAAAATATCTGGGAAAAGTCTTTGAATTTTTAAATTGCTGACCTATGCTGACATATATATAAAAAGATGGCGGACGGGCTGGACGTGGTCGATGTCGGTCCAGATAAAAATTGTCTTTACTGTAATAAAAAAATATCAAAAGGTGTGAAATGTGTTAATTGTGATGCAGTTTTCCATTTAAGTTGCTCTCAACGCAAAACATGCTGTGAAAAACAACATTTTTTATCAAAAAAGACGATTGACGCTGAAGAAGAAGTGAAATACACCCATTCGGAGTTTATTGCATACAAGGTAGAAAATAAATATATTAAAGAACTATTAAATGAATTAAAGGAGAAAAATGAAATACTTAAAATAAATAACAATTTATTGACTCAAAGAATACATGAACTTGAACAGAAAATTGATAAAAAAACTGAGAAGGACGAAGAAGAAAAAGCTACAAAAAAGTATTCAGATACCATAAAAAAAAAAAGGTAAATAAAACGGCAAGAGCAAGTGGAAGTGACAGTAGCTCAGCAGCCGAAAGCCGTGAATATACGCAGAAACAAAGTACCAATGTTGCTGTAGGACATAAAAATGAAGGACCGGACAGTAATTCTAGAAATAAAAAAGAAGAAAGACATTCTGACAAGGTTAAGAATATCGATGAAAATAAACAAACAAATATTCTCCAAGAGCAAAGTAAAATACAAGAAAATGTTATGAACCAATACATTCAACTAAATAAAGACACAAATCCAAATCAAGATGAATGGGAAATTAAACAGAGGAGAGTGAGGCGTTCAAGAAAAAATGTGGGCGAATCAAGCGAGGACACTAATTTCAGGGGTGCTGCAAATAATAATCCTAAGTGTTATATGTACATCTACAGAGTAGGAAAAGAAGTTAATGAAAAGGACATTACATCTTTTATAGGAAACAAACTAAATATACAAAACAATAATATGGAAAACGAGCAAATTATTGTGAAGAAAATTCAGTGCAACAGTACAAATACAATAAGTTTCATAGTTGCCACAGACTTTAGTCATAAGGATAAAATGTATACTCCTTCTTTCTGGCCTAAAGGGGTATGCTATAGGAGATTTGATTTTAAAAAATACTACGAAGATTTTAAAATCAGAGATGTTATCAATGATGGTAGAGACAATATAGGAAATTTTCAAGTATCGGGAAGCTGAAAATCTGCCTAGGTGAAAGTGATTACGTAAAAGATGTAATTGTAAAAGAACAAAATGAATGTAAAAACCAAAATAATTTAAATATTTTTCATTTGAAAGCAGGGGTTGCTATTATGCACGTGAATATTCGGGGTATGGCAGACAAAAAAATTCCCCAACTAGAAATATTACTAGATGAGCAGTCACCTGACTTCTTATGTATTTCGGAACATTGGCTTAATTCAACAGATATAAAGCAGTTTAGGTTAAATAATTTTGAACTAATTAATAGCTATTCTAGGGATGTCGCTACACATGGGGGTGTCTGTATATTAGCAAAAAATGGCATCATAAGTAAACCAATTATGTTTAATAAATGTATTGAAAAGCTGTTTGAGGCTACCATAATAAAGGTCGACATTTTTGACAAAAAAACCAAACTATATATTATTACAGTCTACAGAACACCTGATAGTAAGGTAGATGTCTTTCTTGATGGGGTAAGTAATATGATGAATGATATTTTTAACAAAAATGACATTTATATATTATGTGGGGACGTCAATATTGATACAATGTCAAATAGTATAGAATCACGTAAACTAAAGAACATATTTTGTGAGTTCGATATGATTAACCAGGTAGACAAGCCAACAAGGCTTAACAAAGGCATAGATGTGGTATACTCAAATCTACCAGCCCTGCAATGCTTAGTAGATGATACTCATTTATCAGATCATAGGTATCAAATATGCAAATTCAACTATGATTTAAAAAATAACAATACGTCAGTAATATTTAAAAGATCTTTTGCAAACGACAACTTAAACACTTTTAGAAATACAATTATAAAAGAAAAATGGGAAGAAGTATATAATGGGGAAAATATTAATGACTCCATGCATGCATTTATGTTAACCTTAGAATATCATTACAATAATTGTTTCCCTTTAAGGAAGGTTCGGGTTAATAATAATAAAGGAAAGAAGCCGTGGTATAATAATAAAATTAAAGAAATGAACAAAATGGTTTGTGAAATGCATAAAATAGCACAACAAACAAATAATCAAGTAATAAAAAATAGATATAAACAGTTTAAAAACATATATAATCAATCCGTAAATAAAGCAAAACGGGAATTTAATAATGAAAGGCTCCTAAATGCAGATAATATAGGTAAAGAATCGTGGAAAATAATAAACGAGCATAGAAAGTTAACGTCAAAACCTACAATAGAATTAAATATAAATGGTGCAATTGTTAGCGACAAAAAAGATGTAGCAAATCAGTTCAATACATTCTTTACAAACATAAGTAAACCACCAGTTACAAAGGGGGACCAAAAATTATCGCCTCTTGTACCTCACACGTTCTTTCTACAACCTATAAATCAATGCGAAACCCAAAATATTATTAATAAGGTAACAAAAAAACATGCACCAGGGATTGACGAGATCAATGGTGTAGCACTAAAAACGGTGAGCGATGTGATTGCCCAACCACTAACCTTTTTAATTAACCAATCATTCTCAACAGGACTGTATCCAGAACAGCTAAAAGTATCAAAGTCTGTACCTATATATAAAAATAAAGGATCAAAACAAAACGAATGCAATTACAGAAACGTGTGTCTTCAGTCACAAATTGCAAAAATAATTGATTACAGCTTCTATGTTAGACTCGAAAATTTCATTCAAAAGTATAATCTAATACCAAACTGCCAACATGGATTTAGGCCTAAGAAATCTACAAATACAGCAATAGAGGAACTTTGTAGTAAACTAATAGAAGAGCTGAATAACAAGAAGCACACGATTGCCATCTTCTTCGACTTGACACGAGCATTCGATACAGTGGACCATCGGCTATTGGTGGAAAAATTGAACAGAATAGGGGTTAGAGGAGTATCAGGTAATTGGGTAGAGTCCTATTTACAAAACAGATACCAAGTGGTTTGTATTGACTCAGTAAAGTCTCACCCTGTGAGGGTACCGATGGGGGTACCACAAGGCTCGACACTGGCACCTCTGCTATTTATAATATTTATGAGTGACATAGTTCATACATGTAATACACCTGAAACAACAGTTATATATGCAGATGACACAAGCGAAATAGTGGCAAAACAAAATATACACATGGCACGAGAAGCCGCAGCCAAGGCAACAAGGGAGTTTGCAGACTGGTGCAGAGCAAATGGGCTTTTGGTCAATGTAGGCAAAACAGTATTCATGACATTTCTGCCTAAGAATGTTAAACATGATTACTCCATGTTGATAAGACTTAACAACAAATCCATTGAACAAGTGAACCAGCTTAAATATTTAGGAGTAATTGTGGATCATAAATTTACATGGGAGGCTCACACTAACTATATTGTATCAAAGTTAAGCTCAATGTGTTTCATCTTCAGGCAATTATATAATACCGCAAGCTTACCAATACTTAGGCTAGCCTATTATGGGCTAGTACAATCTACATTATCATATGGTCTGTCATTCTGGGGTAACTCCTCTCATATGGGAATAGTTTTCATAATGCAAAAGAAGATAGTAAGATGTATTGCAGGTCTGCCCTATGGAGCACACTGTAAAAATGCCTTTAAATATTTGTCAGTACTAACATTGCCATGTCTATATATATATTTAATAACCCTGAATATAAAAGCAAATGAATCGAAATATGTAAGAAGTAATATGATACATCAATATAATACACGTGGGGCGAATGAATTTCGAACGCCATATTCGCGATTAGGTATTGGACAGAACACGGGGAATTACCAAGGCATTATTTGTTATAATCACTCAACCAAGATAATAGGTAACTGCAAATATAATATATTTAAAGATAAATTAAGAAAGTACCTAACCGAGAATGCATTCTACTCAGTTGGAGAATTTTTGGATGCCATACCAGGAGTAAATAATACAACTTAAACTTGAAAAGTTTATTGTAAATTTTTATTGTAATTAAATTCTTTACTTAATTTTTATAACAAATTTTAAATCTGTTCTGTTGTAATGTTACATGGATAAATAGGTGGATGGAAGTAGGTAGATTGTGTCTAGGTGTGCATGGAGGTGTGGATGTTAAATTTTAATTTTTTTACTATAATTTTTATTGGGACTAGTCTGTAAGTTTTATAATATTATTAGAAATGATAATAATTTTAAACTTGTAAAGATACAATAAATAAATATAAAAAATATAAAATATAAATATGGGTTTACTGTTTACAGATTTAATTTACAATTTCGTCTTTTTTTATTTAAATTATTTTAACAATGTGGGTGTGCGAAGATTGAAGTCAATATATATTATACTTTTTTAACTCAAATTAAATTTTTAAATCAAATATTGACATATATAGTTATATACAAATTATAAAAAGAAAAGAAGACAGGAATAAATTAAACTTGTATCCAAAAAACTTTTACATTTTTCCAAAAAATGGTTTTGTTTTGCTATTTCTGACTTGCAAGGAATTGTATTTTTGTGGTGCCATAGTTGTTAAAAATATTTGGCTGGCATCACTGTTATTATTTTTTTTTTATAATTTGTTTGGCGTGTTATGTTTATAGGATGCAATTAGTTTTAAGCTGAATATACCATTTTTTAAATATATAATTATATAATATAAAATCGTTAATTTTAAACAACAGCAGTACCGCCGTACCAGTACTGCCCGTCTCCAAGCTCCAGGCCAAGTTGATGTCGCTCGCCGAGAAGAAGTTGTCGAGATCCCGTTCGCGATCCAGGAGCCGCACCAGATCCAAAACGCGCAGCCGCGGACCCCGATCGAAGACCAGATCGAAAACGCGCTCATCGAGCAGATCGTTCAAGGGCAGAAGATCCAGATCTGCGTCAAAGGACCCCAAGGACAAGCGACGTTCGAGATCGAGCTCCGGTTCGAAGGAGAACTTTGAAATCAGGAAGAAGGAGGACAGCGTGCAGAAGAAGCGCCACTACAGATCGAACAAGGATAGTTCCGATAGCGAAGCGGATGTGAAGAGGAAGAGGTCATCCAGATCCAAGTCGCCGAGGAGGAAGGAGAGTCCGAGGGGGAAGAAGAGAAGTGTGTCGAGAAGGAGGTCGACCAGTAGAAGGAGGAGTGTGTCTAGAAGGTGGGATTTTTCTGAACATATGCTCTATTTAATACTAATTGAATAGTTTAAGAAACACCTAACCCTATAATTTTCGTTTAATCGCCAGGCATAGTTAGGCGTATTTTATATTTTATAGATAAGATAGATAAATTTACTCATTTATTGATCTGAAAATTACAGAATAAAATTACGAGACTGATAGAGTAATGTTAAAATTAGGTATTATTGTTGTTCCAGCCAATAAATTCGTCTACAAGAATTAAAACAATTTTCAGTTAAAAATAACTTTAAACTGGTCTTGAATTTGTTAAAATGTTTTATTTCTTTGATTGAATTTGGTAGCAATTTAAAAATCTGTTGTCCAGTATACATTGGAAACTTTTTTAGTTGAAATCGATTGAATCTGTCACTTTTATTTCTGGTCTAATAATTTTTTTGAAACTTGTTCTTATTAAGAAAAGTGTAGATGTAGATAATAGTTTAAAAAGATAGATGCTTGTGAAGGTCATGATGCTATTCAATCGCTTTTGACGGGCGAATATTTGTCCAATTTCCGTTGCTCACCTCCAAACAATTATATAGCAGCTTATGGCAGAGTATATTAATGCATAATACAAGTTAAGTAGGTGAGATTGATAAAAAATTGATTTCAAACTATTGAAAGCAAAGTAGAGTTTATTTTTTTTACAGAGAGAGTCAATTTGATGGTTAAAATTTAGTTTGGAATCTAATTCCATTACAAGAAATTTGGTGTTATCCACATTCTCAAAATTTCTATTATTTAATGTAAAAGTTATGTTGTTGCCTTCCTTATGAAGAGATGTGAATTGGATAGAAAAATAGTTTTATTTTCATTGATAAGGAGATGATTTTTTTGAAACCAATGAATGAACTCATTTATGGTTATTTGTATTTTCTTAAGTCTCGTCTACACTGCCAGCTGCCGAGTAATTACAATTGTTGTGTCGCCCGCACATATAAAAAGTTCAAATCGTGAATGTTAATCAACCTTTACAACTTTATTCATTTTTATTAAAAGTTTTAAGTCATCCATGAAGAAATGTATTTATTTATTCAGTTAAAAAACGAACAAACTACACAATATGCAATTCAAAAAATAATGATACAATAAAAATATAAGATTTATTTGTAAAAAAAAAAGAAATAAAGCATTTGTTTAATCTAAAGTGAATTGTGAATTAATTTTCACATGTCCATAAATTGCATGTTTCAGTTTTCGGATCTAAACCGATTTTCTCATCTTTCTTTGTCATTTAACGTTTACGGCGGTTCGTACATGAAAACTTAACCCTGGCAAATGAATGAATAATCTTAGAATATATTCTAGTTCAAGCTAAGCTTGACGTCCTATACCATGTTGCTAGGGTAGATAATATGCGCTTGTTTACCGGCCACAGTCAGAATCATACAAATTTGACTGTCGAAGGCTACACTTCCAGGTTCGATTTCAGTCCGATGTACATATCTTTCTTTTCTTCATTTCTCAGCTTTTTAATTTTTCTTGGATTTTTTTTTTTGTGTAGGAATACATTTCTTTTTTTTTAGGATTATATTTTCACATTTCCAAAAATTGTAAACAGATTTACGTTTATCTACATTTTCCAATGCTTTCCGAAAATCACAATGGTCATCAGCTTAAAGAGATCTTTTTCTGTCATTTTTTGCATGGTTTTGAAGAATTGTGTTTAAATCAATATATTTCTTTATTCTTGGTGATTTGAAAAACTCTTTTAAAATCCTATGAGTTTTGATCAATCTTAGCCCATATTTAAGACATCTTTCAAGTTCCTATACTGAATAATATACTGTTCTTTATTATATAAGTTTTGAATAGGTTTTGGTTCTAGGGCCAATTTTAACGACTATTTATCATTCTTCAGTGTTGCGATACAAATCCAACTAGTCCCTCGTTTTTAATACGAACTTCAAATTAAAGATATATTTTTGTTTGCAGACGAAGTCCTTCGCGGGGCAGGCGAAGTCCGAGTCGTGACAGGCGGCGCAGGAGTACGTCGAGACGACCATCGCCGCGTCGAAGCGGAGGTCCGGGACCGCGCGGGAGTTACAGCCGAAGGAGCCGTTCGAGACGGCGAGCTGCCAGCAGACAGCGTAGAAGCAGTCCCAGAAGACGATCGAGGAGCCCCAGCAGGAACAGGTAGGGAGGAAACCAATTTCTTGCCTTTTAAAAAAATATTTTATTTTCGACGCCTTCGTTCTGCTAATTAAAAAAAGAGACCTTGGTAGTATCAGATGGAGATACAAAAATTCAAAGGGGACAAGTTGATATCAGACTTTTGTTCAAACACTTATCATTAGTGTTAATAGAGTATTTCAAGAAGCTGAAAAGAGAAAATATAATCAATAAAACACCGCAATTATAAACCAATTTCCATCGATCGGTAAAAATCGCAAAACATTCTCGTTGTTTTAAATGCCTCAGTGATTTTCCAGAAAAAGGTTTTTACAATCTGGCATGGAAATTTTCCCGATGCCTCCAAACACATTTCTAAGGAAAAGTAGGGAAATGTTACTAGGTATAGTTTACACGGAAATCGGCTATAAGATTACACTAAATATAAGTTTAATTAAGTAACATATTAAGTATGCACCTGATTTATTACATTCAAATACTTGATATTTATTATTCTTAAAAGAAAAAGCCACTTTAGTAGAACATTTTTTATTTGCAATTATTTAGTTATCATACACCAGCTTGTTATAATAGCTCTGTCTCACAAGAAAGTCGTTAAAGATTTAAATTTACAAAATATTTCAATAAAGAAAGCTGCAATTTTTGCTTTATTTTCAATTTGTACATATCTATTTTTTTGTGTAAATAATTTTGTTTTGTTTAAAAGCATGGGCCATTAGAACTCATCAATTATTAACCCTTAGGTGATATTTATTAAAATACAATGAAAATTATAGTCAACAATTATCAATTTTGTTCTCATATTATCCCTTAGTATATTCATCTTAATTGGCGCCCAACGTGGGTCAAATTTTTGTTGGTAATCCAGGGTGTGATTTGTTTTTGGGAAAATTATTTTTTCTGGAATTACCTATAAAATATTTTGATAAATAAATATAATTTTGTATCCTTCTAATAAATAAAAAATAACAAAAGTTCATGTTATAAGGTAAGATTTAGTAATTAACTGTTTTAAAATTTAAAAATAAAATCAATAAAGAAATGACTTATAAAAAGATTTAATTAGTGAACCTCAGAAGTGGGAAAATAGAAACGTTCTTTGGAAAAAGAAATATTTTCTTTGTGTACTGAACACCATTACATTATTTCTGTATCTTTTGATTTATGTTTTAATTTAAGTAGGTAAATTAATCCTCAAAATAATTACCGATTATGAGGGAATTCTGTTTCAACTATGTACTAAACATGTAATGTTAATTATTATAAAATAATTAACAATTGTTTGTCCATAAACAGGTGAGTATCGATTGGCGAACCACTACGAAAGTACTTGTACGTTTTCACTTTAAATCGCTGAAAATAATTTTTGGTTTACTCCTCGATTTTTGCGAAAACCTGATTTGTACCAAAAATGCGTTTCCACCTCTGTTAAAAAGCACTTTGTCGCCCTTAACTTTCAGCTGTGGACGTAGAAGTGTCCATTTTCACCTTCTGTGTAGAAACCAGTATTACAACCTTTTTTTCTGTTCTAGGTTCAGAAGAAGTCGCAGCAGGAACAGGAACTCTTATCGGCGACCTTCGCCCGCCCCACACGAAAGAGACAGGCGCATTTCCAGAGAGCGAGAACGCCGCTCCAGATCGAGACGCCGGTCGCGCGATCGCGGCAGTGTGCGCAGGAGATCCCCACCTCGTCCCCCATCCCGCACCAGACGCCCGAGTCCCAGTCCGCAGAAGCGCGACGAAAGACGCGACAACAGAAACGATCCGAGGAATGCAGGCAGACCGCCCAGGAAGGAGGAGCGTCACGAGCCGCCGCCCAGGAAGGTCGAAGAGGCGCGCAGGAGGATAGAGGAGGAACTTCACCGACACGAGAAGAAAGAAAAAGAAGAAATCGAACGCAGAAAGAAGGCCGAACAAGCCGCCGAGTCGGCCAAAATGAAGGAGAAAGAACGCGAAAAGGATAAGAAGAAATCGAGAAGCATCTCGCCCAACGAGAATTACCCCATCCCTCCTCACGGCCCGCCCAGGTACTCTAGAAGCCTCTCCAGGACGCCCTCGCCGTTCATCAAGGCCCACGAGTTCCCTCCCAAGCCAACGAAACCTGCCAGCATCAAGGACGATAAGAAGAAACCCCACAAGGAGAAGCCCGAACCCAAGATAAAGAAGGTCGCTAAGAAACCCTCCAAGAGCGAATCGGACTCCAATTCCAGCGACTCTGAAAGCGAGGAGGAATCCAAGAAGGACAAACGCAGCAAGGTCAAATCGAAGAAGAAGCAAAAGAAACGCGACTCGTCCAGCAGCGACAGCGAGGACGAAAGATCATCGCGGGAGGTCGAAATCAAGAAGAAAAAGGAGCGCAAGAAGCGCGATTCCAGCGAGGAAAAACCCCCGAAGAAACGCCACCAATCTTCAGATTCTGAAGAGGATAAGAAGACGAAGAAAAAACGACGATCGGTCAGCTCCGAGAAACCACCCAAGAAACCAACGAAGAAAGACTCCAGTGACAGCGACGCTGCGCCCAAAAAGAAGAAACGTCAGGATTCATCAGACGAATCTGAAAAGGAAAAACCGAAAAAACACAAGAAAGAAAAGGAATCTTCTTCGGACAGCGATGACGACTCCTCTAAGAAAAAGAAGCACCGCAGCAGGAAGGCGAAATCTGGCAGCGATTCCGACGAGGAGGTAGAAACGAAGAAGAAGAAGAGGGACAAGAAGCATAAAAAGAAGAAGAAGCATTCGAAGAAGCACAAGAAACACAAGAAGAAGAAGCAGGAGAGTGACGATTCGGACAACACCGATACGGAGGTGATGAACGAGGATGAGAAGAAATTGAGAGAGAAGGCTTTAAAGTCGATGAAGAGGCAAAACTCTAGCGATAAGTCTGAGTAAGTTTACTATAAAAACAAACAAAAAAATGCTTAAAAAAGCGTCTATTCGGTGATTCTAAAATCCTATCTTAACGCGTTAATCTAGTGTTATATAAAAATGTAAATGTTACATGTCTTAAAAATAAAATAGTTGTATGTGACTGGTGGTTTTTTTCTTCTTATTTATTTTTTTTTTATTTGTTTTTCGAAAGAAAGTATTAATTTGTGTGTACAATAGGCAGGTGGTTCTTGGCTGAGAAGTTGATCTGTGCTCTGAGCGCCTGTCAATGCCAACAAATCCAACAATGCATGCCCAGCTGATCGATTCAACCGATATCGCAGGCACACGCCCCCTCTCCCAAGCGTATATCCTAGTGACTTGCGATCAAGGTTGATTCTACGTCTTCCTCTTCTGCCTTCCGAACCGATTTTTTGGTAAATCGGACACGCCTGGATGCTATTTTCACTGGTAAAGTATTTTTTTTATTTGTAATGAACAATTTTTCGATGAAGCGATTAATTAAAAATGTGTTTCTGTGAATAAGTAGAGGGTCGAAAGTGTGTGGAATGTCAGAGGCCTTGACGGGACGAAGCAAACTTCGAAAAAGACGCAAAAATCTGGATCCGGGAATATTGATTCATTTAAAAGGTATTTTGCTGCTTTCCTTTTGATCGTGATCACACACTTAAAACACTATACAGGGCAAAAAGTTAATAAACACATTGTATATAGAGTCAAAGCCAGAATGTATGCTACAATTTTGAATCATTCACTAAATTAAATTTAAAAAAATTGAATCTCACAAATACAAAGCATCAGTGATTGACACTTGACGCATATACAAATTAATGACACTATCTTATTTTGGGGCAAGTTCGATTTGGAACTCGACGGATCGGAGAGAGCGCGCACGGAGTGAGTGACGTCATAGATAGAGTTTACTCTTTTTATAATCTCAAGACGAACACAAGGGGAATAACAAATGACAGTAGTGATAGTTTTCACTTGAATACACTTTTGTGTGTATGTAAAAAAAATAACTTAAATCGCGTAGGAAATAGTTATAATAAAAACAAACAAGAAATAATACCTGTAAAGCTGATTAATCTAAGAATAGAATATTGACATTTTTGACACATTCCTATAGATACCTGTTGATCTCCACCGGCTAACTCGGGAAAGAGTGAGCGCGCTCCGAGTACGTGATCTGTGGCAATCTGAACACAAAAGATTACGCTCCGAGTGTCAAGACGACCACAATTGAGGCATACCGGGTGCACTCTGAGTGCAGTGAACGCCAACCCGAACTCAGCCTTGGTAGGAGGCAAAATCCTGAAATGCTTGCATATATTGTTTTCTACGTTTTCCGCTAGAAAGTGTGAATTTAAGCGCATATTTTAATTTCATTTATAATGATTTCTCACATCAAAATATTGTATTTCATTGTTGTGAATGCTGAGTTAGACATGATTATTTATTTATTTTGTCAAAGAAAAAAACACTGAGTAATCTAAATAATTATATTGGGAGTACTCCCTCATTACTTTAGAAGGGATTACAATAGATTATTTACTTGAGGTGAAATTTTTGTTACTAGAATTTTTTTTTATTAAACTTTTTTGTCACAGGACAGCAGTGTTTTTTCTAAAATTTTTGCTTCCTGCGTAAGGGTTCCTTCTTGTTTACAGGATAGATCGTGGACTGTATTTTTTGATGAATCTTGTAGAATCTCGGTGATAAATTGATGGATAAAATGTCGTGGAATGTAAAAATTAAAGTGACATTACATTTGAGTGTTACTTTTTACATGCAATTAAATGTGAACATGCTGGTTTAAAACGTCTTTCTATGTTAGTTTAATGTCAAAAATCTGATGTGTCTAACACATGACTTTCCTATCTATTTATTACAGACTTCCCCCCTTCCCAGTGCTCTGACTCTGTCTAAAATCTAAAGTTTAAAATTTAATGTTTTTATCTTTATCCGTTTTTGAGTTTTATTCAAAATTCGAGATTACACTTTTTCTCAAATATCTCGAATACGGTCCATTTTAGAGAAATTATGTATGGAACAAGAATTAAACAACTTGTACTTGATCAGTTTTCATAAAAATTTGATTTTTTACATTTTGTCAAATTTCTCGAATACGGACCATTTTAGGAAAATTTTGTATGGAACAAAAATTATAGAGAATATTAGAAGTGACTGGATAATATTAATCAAATATATAATCGTTCAGATACCAATTACATGCCTTTAAACTATTTTTTATAATAGTGCCAGTGTAGTTCAAACTGAGATCACGGGAATTCTCATAGCAGCAAACGAAAACACCAGTAACAGTATCACTGGAAGGAACATGCTCATCTATACAGATAGCGGACAAGCACTATTCACCCTGAACAGACCACAAATTTACTCAGGGTTAGTACTAGAATGTCACCAAGCTTTGGCCGGAGTATCCATCAACAATGTGGTCACCTTAAGATGTATCGAAGGTCACACTACAATGAAAGGTAACTGTCTTGCTGATTCATTATCCAATATAGCAGCCAACCAAATACTTTTTTTGGACCTGGCCCTTCAATTGTACTAACAACATCAGTAGTGACAGACCTACTTAAAGAACATTCCTTTGTGAAATTCAAGGAAAGACAGGATGAAATAAGAAATCGCAGAGTTGCCAGGGAACTAAATACTTGACTATGACTAGACAGAATATGTGCCTGGTCACAGGTATTCTGACTGGTTATTGCCAAGTACGTAAACATCTCCATATCATGGGGCTGTCAGAATCTGAACAAGAAGATGAGACCATTGAGCATATCCTCTACAATTAACCGACGCTCTCATTTATTAGAAGATTTGTGTTCGGAGAGTATTGGCTAACACCGCCCGATATAAGAGAAGCACTTCTTGGCGGTGTTGTCAACTATATTAAATCTGTAGGCTGGCTCACGAGCTAGGAGGTGTCTTATTACGTTAGAAGAGATGCACAATGGACCCAGTGAGGCGAAATACCGTGGGGTAACCCACCCTCCACACGTTACAGATACAGAGACAATTCTTTTAAACCATAATCATAGTAGTTTTTTGTGGTTTATATGACAACCTGTAAAAATTAATCACAACGATATGTATAAAAATTAAATCTTCAAATCAACAAAAATTGTTTCATATTGTAAATGCTTTTTATTAATCATGGATAGATGTTTTATGTGGGATGTTAAAGGAAAAAGTGTTTCCCTTAAATGACGGCCAAAATTTGCAGCGGACTCTTGGGACTATTTCATCTAAATTTGGTTTCTTTTAATAATCATTATGGCCCTTTGAGGTAAAGGCCGGCTGTTTTTTTATATTTGGTGGCGCCTCTTTAATTTCTACATAGGTTCCACAAGAAATACCAACTCTGCTAATGCTGCTTTCAGAGTTTAAGAACAAATTAGTATTCTTCAAATATTTACATCAATATTTTCATCACAGGAATTTTATAATTTGCCTTGCATATCATTATTATTTAATTTGTATAATCTTAGCTGCGCCCTCTGACAGAAAATCAACGAAATAAACTGTGTACAATCAGATCTTGTTGTTAAAGAACGACTGCCGCCAAAGAGCTGTTTATAGTGTGTGATCATGACAGTTGGCAAGTTTTAGACATGTTGAACTTTTTTTAAGTGCCTACGGATATTGTACTTTTCAATTTAGAAATATTTTTTGTAAGATATATTGGTTAACAAATCTAAATATTTAGTTTACTTATAAATTTGGATTCATTGGCGTCGTTCGTCAAATATTTTGTTTGGTAATTTCAGATCTGTAGGTGCAAATAAGTGGTAAGTATCGAGAATAGAATTAATAATTTAGTTTTAATAGATCACAGTAAAAAAAACTAAGGGTAAAATAATTCGGAAAACTCTTTGATTAGGTTTCTGAATGTGCCAACCAACTTTTATTTGGATTTGCTTGTTTTCCTAATTCTAGTGAATAAATTTGAAAAACAATTTTTTGTTTTATTTAATCTTATTCTTTTATACAGGGCGCCTATCATATATGTTTGAACAAGCAATTATTTAAAAAAAATGTTATAATAAATTAAAACTTTAGTGTCAACTATAAAGAAGCAATTACTAATATTTTCAGTATCGTTTTGACTACTAGAAAGAGCAAATTGATTTCAATTCATTTTGACATTAGAAAACACTGACAACTAAATGTTGGAACATGTATTGTTTATTTCACTTTTCTTTCAATGTTATCGCTGTGACTAGTGACAGTTTTATAATAAAAGAAAACGCAGTCTGTAGCTTGTTATATTGTCAAAGCAGATCATTTGTGAATTATTTTGAAAATAATTAGATGTGGAATGCCAACTGATCGAAAAGTGTGAAATCATACGGCAGTGCCATAAAGGTAAAACAATGTTAAATTTCTAAAGAATTGTCCGTAGGAACAAATTCTGTTTTTAATATAGTAAAAATAAAATATGGTAAAATGTCAAATATTGATGTTCGTGGCAAGAGTCGTCTGAAAGAAGCGCATAAATCTTAAACAAAGTTTGGAAAAATAATTACATTGCGAGAAGTTACTACAAAGTGGAATATAGAGAGGAATGAACATTTCTCGAGAATGTTGCAAGAATATCCATAAGGTATGGGTTAATATTTACTTAATAACCTTTTCCCATTAATTTATTTAAATTTATAGGTCAAAGAAACCATTACTGACAGAAACAGAAGAGAAATCGTTAATTTGGGCTAAATCTCTTTTGTGGTCTAAAAATGATTGGACTAAAGTCACTATTTAGCGACGAAAGTAAATTTGATGTATGGGTGGGAGATTATCGTAAATGCATAATTCGAGACGAAACAGAAGTCTTCCATAAAGACTGCATTAAATAACGCACAGTTAAGTTCCTACAAGGCATTATGGTTTGGGGATGTATGTGTCTGCTAAAGGATTGGGCACTTTAAAATTTATTTAAGGGGCTGTAAGACTCATCACCAAGTGTTGCAAAATTATATACGAATGGAGATTACATATTCCAACAGAATGGTGCATTATGTCACCGCAAAAAAATAAATGGTTTGGGAGACAGTAATGTTAAAGTTTTAATTGGCTATGCTATAATTATAAAAATCATTGAATTTTTTCTTCTTG